CTGGGATTGGGCAAGAGTAATGTCTTTATTACCTTATGAAGAACAAAAAAGCGCGTCTCTCATTTGTCATCTTAGAGAAGATGTACAAGGTATTACTCGTGCTCTGATAAGAGAATTCCCAACGTTGTGCATCAAAAGATATCATGGAAAATCAAATCCAATTGAGAAGTCTCAGGATTTTAGCAATGTGGAAGAGGCATGGAAGGATGTGAATCTTGTTGCATATACAAGTACATTAAAAACAAGAGTCTCGTGTACTAACCCCAAGTTCGAGCGTGCATTCTGTCTTTTCAAAAGTTATATAGAAACGAATGCTAGGACAAACCAGATATTATTTCGCATGAGATGTATTAAAGAATATACATGTCACATCAAACAAAGAGCATCAAATCTCCCAATCACTGAAGAGGAGTTATTCCACTGGTTGTTAAAAGCTAAACGCGAATCTCTCTCTCAAGAACTTCAAAATAGAGTAATATTTTCAGATGTAGAATCTATTATTCGAAATAAAAACATCCTAACAGTTCGATTGTGGGTTGCCCACACATTGGAAAAATTCTGATCTCGTCATTTATTTGGATGGAGAATGGTAGATTTTCTTAAAAAAGCAGGTATAGTAGTTTTTATAATAAAAGCCACTCCAAAAGCTAAAAATAATACCGTGACACTAACTGAAACAGTAAAGGGGTATTCTTTGGTTATTAAAGCAGAGGAAATTTCTGACATTGCCAATGCCAATATTCTCAATCATGAGATAGCTGAACACCTAGAAAACAAGCCAAGGAAGACTTTAGAAGAAATGTATACATTAAACTAGTACCATATTGCAGATTGCTATAGAGTATCACCTGAATCTATAACTGAAGAATTTATTACAGATTATGGTAAATATGATCATATGAAATGGTTTAGAAATCTCCGGAAACTACGAGATGTGGGCACTAATAATGAGACAGCAGTTGAGGCCATTATCTGTGAAGATTATAGAAATGATAGACTTACAATCGTTATCCAAGCTGAGAAGCATCGAATTTGTCTGGAATTACTAAAGACTTGTACACCTGTTAAAGATATTGATGATCGAAATAGATATAAAGTTAATGATGTTAAAATATGTTTAAATTCACCAGAATCGATACAATACCTCCAAAATTTAGTACCAAAAATGGCTCAGGTTTTTGATAATACAGACGCATCTCGTAGTGCTAAAAAATCTGGCTTAAAATCGGATAAAGCAAAACTTGGTTTATTAAATTCAGCACTTTCTGCAATCTATGGGATAAAGTTTAAAACTACTAATAATAAAAATACGCATTACTATTTAGTTGGAGTATTTGACAATGAAGATGCTCCCAAATTACCACCATACCAAACGGGCGAAGGGCAATTCTATGAAAATGGCAAGGATACACGTTATGGGTATAGTAAACTCTCACCTGACGAACTAGAAATCGCTCCCAGTTCTGACATACAGTTGCGTCAGGATATGTTTAATATCTGTTAATATATATATCTATTTAATAATGGCCTATAATATATCTTACAAAGGGGGTTTTTGTGATGCTTAAAAAACGCAATTGGAAAAAATTTGTCCCCATGGCTATATTATATCACAGAAGGGATTTTTGTGTTGCCTAAAATGTTATATACTAAAAATTTTATCTATTGTAGGTGATGAATTAGAAATTCGAGGTTTTACCTCTTCTTCGAGTCTACTCAGAAGAAGCAAAGCTTCGATGTTCTGCATCATCTTGGAAAATAAGCCCTTTTTGTCTCATCCGATAATTTAATGAATGAAATTGACCAGAATGTTTTGGACAATACCCCGTAATAGATATAGTAGGTTTTCTACAAATACCGCAGGGGAATTTCTCTATATTTCGCTCATGTAAACTTCAATGTCTGTAACAACCCATAGGTCGCCAGTATTTATTTCTGTATATAGATCTATCTCTTTTAATGTGAGGGCAGATAGCGCGATCCATGAAAGTATTTTAGGATGAAATATATAATATATGTATAAAATTCAAATATAAATATCAATTTAAATATTTCGAATTTATTATAAGATAAAATAACTTTATATACTGATACTACATATACCACACTAAAAAAATGTATAAATTATATACTAAAGAGCCAGAATATACTAAAGAAACAATTACTGCTAAGCAATTATCCAAATTGGCTAATCATTGGAGAAAGCCAAAAATTTATAATCCCAAAACGAATCGCATGATTACAATCGATGGACCAACATATAATAAATTAATATGTAATAGATATGTACATTGGGAAGAGGTCTTGATTTCTCCATCACCATTCGAGAATTATATTAAAAAATAAAAATAAAATACTGTAAAGTGTTATCATAGCCTGGCTTCTACCCCCAAAGCTATAAATTTTTTTCGTTATATCCTATATGTTAGTAAATTTCAAATCGACATTCTACTTACCCTATAGGTATATATAAACTCTTTTTTTCTAGGTATAGGAGAAAAAAGCATAATTAATTTCGATTTGAAAAAAGAATATTTATAGTGTATATAACCTAAAGAATTGTTCATATCCTACCCAACCTACTATAACATTAGACCATGTCAGCTATTACAACAAAAATCGTTGAAAAATACATCCTCACCCCAAAGATAAATGACTCTGAACGTAGCCAATATACCTCAGAATTTCTTGAAAACTTTACAGATGATAGAAAGCAGAATCAAGCCAGAAGGCATTTTCGGGATAGCTTTAAATTTAGCAGTGAACAGGTGAGTATATTAATACCTAACCAGAGAAGTGGTAAAACTAAAACTATAAATCTTGTAACTTCCGATAGATATCAAGATCCTATTTCAATCTTGCAAGGATTAAAGGAAGAAACTATCGGAGAGATGGCGCATTGATTTTTACAGAATGAGTTTAGTATTAGGGATATAAGAGCTGAAGCTTATGCCTTAGCCTTATCGGCATTAAATGCTAATGCTGGTTCTTCTTGGTTATCACGACTCAGAAGAGAATTAAGAAATCTTGGTGCTTCATCCCAGATAATCGAAGCCACAAAATTCCTCGATATTACAAAAGATGCTAACGAAATTCAGAAGAATTGACGAATATTTGTTGAGGAGTTTGAAAGAATTAATTATCCAGACCGCTTTACGTTAGAATCGGTCAAAGAAAGATTGGATAGTTATGATACATCTATTTTATCCGACTTATAAGCTCTCACAGATGTTATGATAATGCTTTGTATCTGCCCTGCTAAACTTACATCTTTACGCATTACAGATGCTGGAGTGATAGGCTATGCAAAGAACCGAAGTCAGATAGATACTTCTCGAAAATTAAGATCTATAGAGAAGAATCAAGAACGAGCTAAGGAATTGCTTACCTGGATTCAGAATGCTATTTCTTCTGGTCGAATGGGCAACCCAGGTAAGCCAGGAGCAAAATGGTTCAATAGATTCTTAAAAGACTATGATTTAATTCCTCGTCATTTACGTAAAATAGTGGCTATATATGCTGTGGTGGTACATGGAGCAAAGAATTTAGCTCATGCTATGACAATTACCAGAGAAGCCTTATGTCACAATCCTGACAATAACACCTCACTAGCACAAAATTACGTTATTGTCAATTATCGGAGAAAGAATCAACTACCTGAAGAAGCGAAACCATTTCGACTCTATAATAATGTTAACTAATCATGCTTCTTTGCTTCAAAAACTTGTGTATATATTTCATTCTCGTTGATTCAAGAATATCTGGAAATGCACATCGTGGATTACAAATAATTTTATTTAGTAGTGGAGAATGGGTAATTTTTTACCGAGTTATTTTTTCGGTTATAATATATATCATTAAATAATATCGCAGGAAGCGTGTTATTCTGGCTATAGAATAGAGTGGGTAATCAGGTATTTGATAGCCTCCAGCTAATTTCAAACAAAGAATTTTTATTTGCTGTGATATATATATATCTGTGATAATTTTTCTTGTTCTACTTTTGATTCTAGACATGGACACTGATTGTTGCTAGCTGATTTTTTAACAAAAATCTCATGCAATTGTTGAAGAGAGACATTCGAAAATAATGATAGTCCCTTACCAGTAAACCAAATTTTCTTTACCCCACTATCAATGAATTTCTGTATTAATACACTTGGAACATCTTCTAAGGGACTATGAAATTCTTCAAACTTTCGGAGGTATACTCTTGCATTTTTATCGGCTTCTTCTGCCATTTCTTGATTAGTATAACTGACAATACCAAGTTCTTCCTGAATTGTCGCTATATCATCTTCTAAGCATAAAAGCAAATCAAATAATCTAATTGGTTTATCTGAAGAGGCTTTATTCCTTCTAAGTTCTGCTTC